TCCGGGAACTTCCTGCACTTGGCCGTGGGGGCCACGGAGCTGCAGCTCGGGGAGAACCTGGCCGTCAACTTCCACCTCAAGACCAACAACAACAACGTCCGGGACTCCGTGCCCTACTTCACCTACTTGGTGAGCAACGGCCACCGACACAACACCGGTGTGCCAGTGCCACCGACCCAAGTGTCCCGGTGCCACCAACCCAAGTGTCCCAGTGCCACCAACCCAAGTGTCCCAGTGCCACCAACCAAAGTGTCCCAGTGCCACCAACTCAACCCCAGTGTTCTGGTGCCACCAACCCAAGTGTCCCAGTGCCACCGACACACCATTGGTGTGCCAGTGCCACCAACCCCAGTGTCCCGGCACCACCGAACCAACACCGGTGTGCCAGTGCCACCGACCCAAGTGTCCCAGTGCCACCAACCCCAGTGTCCCAGTGCTACCAACCCAAGTGTCCCAGTGCCACCACCCCAACACCGGTGTGCCAGTGCCACCGACCCAAGTGTCCCAGTGCCACCAACCCCAGTGTCCCAGTGCTACCAACCCAAGTGTCCCGGAGCCACCAACCCAACCCCAGTGTCCCGGTGCCACCAACCCCAGTGTCCCAGTGCCACCAACCCAACCCAAGTGTCCCAGTGCCACCAACCCAAATGTCCCAGTGCCACCAACCCAAATGTCCCAGTGCCACCAACCCCAGTGTCCCAGTGCCACCAACCCAACCCAAGTGTCCCAGTGCCACCAACCCAACCCCAGTGTCCTGGTGCCACCAACCCAAGTGTCCCAGTGCCACCAACCCAAATGTCCCAGTGCCACCAACCCAACCCCAGTGTCCCAGGGCCACTGACCCAACCCCAGTGTCCTGGTGCCACCAAGCCCAGTGTCCCAGTGCCACCAACCCCAGTGTCCTGGAGCCACCAAGCCAACCCCGGTGTCCCAGTACCACCAACCCCAGTGTCCTGGTGCCACCAACCCAACCCCAGTGTCCTGGTGCCACCAACCCAAGTGTCCCAGTGCCACCAACCCAAGTGTCCCAGTGCCATCAACTGAGCCCCAGTGTCCCAGTGCCACCAACCCAAGTGTCCCAGTGCTACCAACCCAACCCCGGTGTCCCAGTGCCACCAACCCAAGTGTCCCAGTGCCACCAACCCAACCCCAGTGTCCCAGGGCCACCGACCCAACCCCAGTGTCCTGGTGCCACCAACCCCAGTGTCCCAGTGCCACCAACCCAAGTGTCCCGGAGCCACCAACCCAACCCCAGTGTCCCGGAGACACCAACCCAACCCAAGTGTCCCAGTGCCACCAACCCAACCCAAGTGTCCCGGTGCCACCAACCCAACACTGGTGTCCCGGTGCCACCAACCCAACACTGGTGTCCCAGTGCCACCAACCCAAGTGTCCCAGTGCCACCAACCCCAGTGTCCCGGAGCCACCAACCCAACCCCAGTGTCCCAGTGCCACCAACCCAACCCCAGTGTCCTGGTGCCACCAACCCAAGTGTCCCAGTGCCACCAACCCAAATGTCCCAGTGCCACCAACCCAACCCCAGTGTCCCAGGGCCACCGACCCAACCCCAGTGTCCTGGTGCCACCAAGCCCAGTGTCCCAGTGCCACCAACCCCAGTGTCGCGGAGCCACCAAGCCAACCCCGGTGTCCCAGTACCACCAACCCCAGTGTCCTGGTGCCACCAACCCAAACCCGGTGACCCAGTGTCGCCAACCCAACCCCAGTGTCCCAGTGCCACCAACCCAACCCAAGTGTCCCAGTGCCACCAACCCCAGTGTCCCGGTGCCACCAACCCAACACTGGTGTCCCGGTGCCACCAACCCAACACTGGTGTCCCAGTGCCACCAACCCAAGTGTCCCAGTGCCACCAACCCCAGTGTCCCGGAGCCACCAAGCCAACCCTGGTGTCCCAGTGCCACCAACCCAAGTGTCCCAGTGCCACCAACCCAAGTGTCCCAGTGCCACCAACCCCAGTGTCCCGTAGCCACCAACCCAACCCCAGTGTCCCGGTGCCACCAACCCCAGTGTCCCGGAGCCACCAACCCAACCCCAGTGTCCCGGTGCCACCAACCCAACACTGGTGTCCCAGTGCCACCAACCCAAGTGTCCCAGTGCCACCAACCCCAGTGTCCCGGAGCCACCAACCCAACCCCAGTGTCCCAGTGCCACCAACCCAACCCCAGTGTCCTGGTGCCACCAACCCAAGTGTCCCAGTGCCACCAACCCAAATGTCCCAGTGCCACCAACCCAACCCAAGTGTCCCAGTGCCACCAACCCAACCCCAGTGTCCCAGTGCCACCAACCCAACACTGGTGTCCCAGTGCCACCAACCCCAGTGTCCCAGTGCCACCAACACCAGCGTCCCAGTGCCACCAACCCCAGTGTCCCGGTGCCACCAACCCAACCCCAGTGTCCCAGTGCCACCAACCCAACCCAAGTGTCCTGGTGCCACCAACCCAAGTGTCCCAGGGCCACCAACCCCAGCGTCCCAGTGCCACCACCCCAACACTGGTGTGCCAGTGCCACCAACCCAAGTGTCCCAGTGCCACTGACCCAAGTGTCCCGGTGCCACCAACCCAACACTGGTGTCCCAGTGCCACCAACCCCAGTGTCCCGGAGCCATCAACCCAACCCCAGTGTCCCAGTGCCACCAACCCAACCCCAGTGTCCTGGTGCCACCAACCCAAGTGTCCCAGTGCCACCAACCCCAGCGTCCCAGTGCCACCACCCCAACACTGGTGTGCCAGTGCCACCAACCCAAGTGTCCCAGTGCCACCGACCCAAGTGTCCTGGTGCCACCAACCCAACACTGGTGTCCCGGCGCCACCAACCCAACCCCAGCGTCCCAGTGCCACCAACCCCAGTGTCCCGGAGCCACCAACCCAACCCCAGTGTCCCAGTGCCACCAACCCAACCCCAGTGTCCTGGTGCCACCAACCCAAGTGTCCCAGTGCCACCAACCCCAGCGTCCCAGTGCCACCACCCCAACACCGGTGTGCCAGTGCCACCAACCCAAGTGTCCCAGTGCCACCGACCCAAGTGTCCCGGTGCCACCAACCCAACACTGGTGTCCCAGTGCCACCAACCCCAGTGTCCCGTAGCCACCAACCCAACCCCAGTGTCCCAGTGCCACCAACCCAACCCAAGTGTCCCAGTGCCACCAACCCCAGTGTCCCGGAGCCACCAACCCAACCCCAGTGTCCCGGAGCCACCAACCCAACCCCAGTGTCCCAGTGCCACCAACCCCAGTGTCCCGGAGCCACCAAACCAACCTTCCCTTGGCCACCACAGATCATGAGCAAGGGCCACATTGTCCACGTGGGGCGCCAACGGCACGAGGCCGGCCAGAGCCTGGTGACCATGTCCCTGCCGGTGACCTCCGAGCTCCTGCCGTCCTTCCGCATCGTGGCCTATTACCACGTGCTGCCGGACGAGATCGTGGCCGACTCCATCTGGGTCGATGTCAAGGACACTTGCATGGGCACCGTGAGTGTCCCCAGTGCCCTCAGGGGTCTTTGGTTGGGACTTGGAGGAGCCTTGAGGTGGTTCTTGAAGGGCTCGGGTGGTTCAGGATGGGGTTTAGGTGGTCCTTGATAGGGGTTGGATGAACCACGGGGAGGACTGGGTTGCCCTTGAGGGGTTTGGGTGGTCCATGATGGGAATTGGGTGGTCCTTGAGGGGTTTGGGTGGTCCTGGAGAGGTTTGGGTGGTCCTGGAGGGGCTTGGGTGGTCTTTGAGGGGTTTGGGTGGTCCATGAGGGGAGCTGGGTGGTCCTTGAGGGGCTTGGATGGTTCATGATGGGGTTTAGGTGGTTTGTGATGAGGATTGGATGATCCATGGTGAGGATTGGGTGGTCCTTGAGGGGTTTGAGTGGTCTTTGAGGGGCTTGGATTGTCCATGATGGGGCCTGGTTGGTCCACGATGGGACTTGAGTGGTCCATGATGCGGCTGGGGTGGTCCTTGAGGGACTTGGTTGGTCTATGATGAGGTTTAGGTGGTCTGTGATGAGGTTTAGGTGGTCTGTGATGAGGTTTAGGTGGTCTCTGAAGGGGCTTGGGTGGTCCTTGAGGGGTTGGATGGTTCATGACGGGACTTAGGTGGTCCTTGAGGGCCTTGGGTAGTCTATGATGAGGATTAGGTTGTCCATGATGGGTTTGGATGGTCCATGATGGGACTTAGGTGGTCCTTGAGAAGCTTGGGTGGTCCATGATAGGGATTGGGTGGTCCATGAGGGCAATTGGGTATCACTGAGGTCGCTTGGATGGTCCACGTGAGCACTTCATGGTGGGTTTTGGTTGCCCCATTGATGCTCCAGCTCCTCCACGGTGCAATCTCCAACCATCACCTGGAGGACTCCATCACCCCATTGCCTTGGAGTTACCCCCATGGGCACCTCCCGGAGGTGCCATCAAGTGGGTTTTGGGGCACCCCATGGCCATGACCCTCCCCAAGCCCCACGTCCTCTGCAGCTGGTGGTGAAGGGAGCGACGGAAGCTGACAACCGGGTGCATGAACCGGGGACACCCATGAGGCTCCGCATCGAGGGCGACCACAACGCGTACGTGGGCCTGGTGGCCGTGGACAAGGGCGTCTTCGTCCTCAGCAAGAAGAACAAACTCACCCAGTCCAAGGTGGGGGCCCAGGTCGCCATCCCCATTGTGCGTCCCCCACCCCACGATGGGCTTTGGAGGTCAGGGGTGTCCTCTGGTGGCCACAGGTTTGGGACACGGTGGAGAAGAGCGACATCGGCTGCACGCCGGGCAGCGGGAGGGACAACGTGGGGGTCTTCGCCGATGCTGGTCTCAGCTTGGTCACCAACGTGAAGATCTCGACGCCACAGCGAGGGGGTAGGGATGGGACAACCTTGGGGGTGACCCCTTGGGTGGGGGGGGGTGTATCCAAAGGAGGGGTGCCGTGAACCAACAGCTTTGGGGTGTGACAACGGAGGTCCAGGGTTGGGGACGGGGTCCTGAGCTGTGTCTCCTCTGTCCCCAGAGGTGAAGTGTCCCCAACCTGCACAACGCAAGCGCCGCTCCATGCAGCTCATTGAGTACAAGGGCACCAAGGGTAGGTGGCACTGGGAGCATCCCATGGCCCCAGGGGGCACCAGGGCCCATGTCCCAGTCAATACCAGTGTTCCATGGCTATCCCATGGCACCTATCCCAGTACCAGTGTCCCATGTCCATCCCATGGTACCTATCCCAACACCAGTGTCCCATGTCCATCCCATAGCACCTATCCCAGTACCAGTGTCCCATGTCCATCCCATGGCACCTATCCCAGTACCAGTGTCCCATGTCCTTGAAGGACATCACAATGTCCCTGGAAATAACACAACATCCCATGCCCCATGGAACACCAGCTTCCCATATCCCAAAGGACACCATCGTGTCCCATGGCCCTGATGACCCCACAGCATCCCACATCCCAAAGGACACCTTTGCACCCCATGGCCTTGGTGACCCCACAGCATCCCACATCCCAAAGGACACCCCTGTGTCCCATGTCCCTGGTGACCCCACAACATCCCACATCCCAAAGGACACCCCTGTGTCCCATGGCCCTGGTGACCCCACAGCATCCCACATCCCAAAGGACACCAATGTGTCCCATGTCCCTGGTGACCCCACAGCATCCCACATCCCAAAGGACACCAATGTGTCCCATGTCCCTGGTGACCCCACAGCACCCCACATCCCAAAGGACACCTTTGCACCCCATGGCCCTGGTGACCCCACAGCATCCCACATCCCAAAGGACACCACCGCGCCCCACGGCCCTGGTGATGGGCTCTGGGGCTGGGTACCAGCTGGGTCCCTTGGTGCCTGCAGCGGCCGAGTACAAGGACAAGGCCCTGCGCAAGTGCTGTGAGGACGGGATGAAGGAGAACCCCATGGAGCACAGCTGCGAGCATCGCTCCACCTACATCCAGGACGGGGACGCTTGTGTCCAGGCCTTCCTCGACTGCTGCACCCACATCAGGACCATCCGCAACCAGAAGCAGCGCCTGCTCCAGCTCCAGCTGGCCCGAAGCAAGTGATGGGACATGGAGGGATTCAGGGGGGTGGGGGGGGGGGTGGGGGGTGGGGGGGGAGCTTCAGTGATGCTTGGGGGATGCTTGGGTGAACCTCCGGTGATGCTTGTGCCACCCTTGGGTGATGCTTGTGTGATGCTCAAGTGATGCTTGTGCCTCCATTGGGTGATGCTCAAATGGTGCTCGGGTGATGCTCAGGTGATGCTTGTGCCACCCTTGGGTGATGCTCAAATGGTGCTTGGGTGATGCTCAGGTGATGCTGGTGCCACCCTTAGGTGATGCTCAAGTGATGCTCAAGTGATGCTTGTGTCATCCTTCAGTGATGCTCAAATGATGCTTGTGCCACCCTTGGGTGATGCTTGGGTGATGCTTTTGCCACCCTTGGGTGATGCTTGGGTGATGCTCAGGTGATGCTTGTGCCACGCTCAAGTGATGCTTGTGCCACCATTGGGTGATGCTTGGATGATGCTTGGATGATGCTTGTGCCACCCTTGGGTGATGCTTAGGTGATGCTTGTGTCACCATTGGGTGATGCTTGGGTGATGCTCAAATGGTGCTTGTGCCATGCTGAAGTGATGCTTGGGTGATGCTTGGGTGATGTTCAAATGATGCTTGGGTGAACCTCAGGTGATGCTTGTGCCACCCTTGGGTGATGCTTGGGTGAACCTCAAGTGATGCTTGTGCCTCCATTGGGTGATACTTGGGTGATGCTCAGGTGATGCTTGTGCCACCCTTGGGTGATGCTTGGGTGATGCTCAGGTGATGCTTGTGCCACCCTTGGGTGATGCTTGTTTGATGCTTGTGCCACCATTGTGTGATGCTTGGGTGATGCTTGGATGATGCTTGTGCCACCCTTGGGTGATGCTTAGGTGATGCTTGTGTCACCATTGGGTGATGCTTGGGTGATGCTCAAATGGTGCTTGTGCCATGCTGAAGTGATGCTTGGGTGATGCTTGGGTGATGTTCAAATGATGCTTGGGTGAACCTCAGGTGATGCTTGTGCCACCCTTGGGTGATGCTTGGGTGAACCTCAAGTGATGCTTGTGCCTCCATTGGGTGATACTTGGGTGATGCTCAGGTGATGCTTGTGCCACCCTTGGGTGATGCTTGGGTGAACCTCAAGTGATGCTTGTGCCTCCATTGGGTGATACTTGGGTGATGCTCAGGTGATGCTTGTGCCACCCTTGGGTGATGCTTGGGTGATGCTCAGGTGATGCTTGTGCCTCCACTGGGTGATGCTTGGGTGATGCTCAAATGATGCTTGTGCCACCCTTGGGTAATGCTTGGGTGAACCTCAAGTGATGCTTGTGCCACCCTTGGGTGATGCTTGGGTGAACCTCAAGTGATGCTTGTGCCACCCTTGGGTGATGCTTGGGTGAACCTCAAGTGATGCTTGTGCCACCCTTGGGTGATGCTTGGGTGAACCTCAAGTGATGCTTGTGCCACCCTTGGGTGATGCTTAGGTGAACCTCAAATGATGCTTGGGTGAACCTCAAATGATGCTTGTGCCTCCATTGGGTGATGGCTGGGTGATGCTTGGGTGAACCTCAAGTGATGCTTGTGCCACCCTTGGGTGATGCTTGGGTGAACCTCAAATGATGCTTGTGCCTCCATTGGGTGATGCTTGGCTGATGCCCACCCATCTCTTGGCCATCACTTGGCTGGTGCTTGGCTGATGCTGGGGTGAACGTGGCTTTGCCCAGGGCGCGGGGTCCTGAGGGTACGGTCCAGAGGCCCCGTGTCCCCCCCAGGCGAGGTGGACGATGGCTTCCTGGCCGATGAGGACATCACCTCCCGGAGCCTCTTCCCCGAGAGCTGGTTGTGGCAGGAGGAGCCGCTGACGGAGCAGCCCAATGAGCTGGGGTGAGTCCCGGCCCCATGGTCCATGTGGGGCCATAACACCAGGACCCCCCCCCAGAGCCCCCACAGAGGCTGCTTCTGACCCCATGGTGCTGCCTTGGTCCAGCTCAGGGCCCATCTCCAACCCCTGGTCCAGCTTTGGGACCAGCTTGGTGGCCCCTTCCACCTCCTTAGCTTGCCTTGGGGAGCGTTATGACCCCCTTGGCCATTCCCATCCTCTGCAGGATCTCCACAAAGACTCTCCCTGTCTACCTGAAGGACTCCATCACCACATGGGAGGTCCTGGCTGTCAGCATCTCCAAGAACAAGGGTACGTGATGGAGGATTCCCTGGGGAGCTAAGGAATATCCCAGTCCTCAGGGATGGTTCCTAGGTCTTGAAGGGACCCCTGAAGCCTGGTGGGCTTCCTTGGGGTTTGAGGGATGTCCAAGACCTTAAGAAGGTGCCCCTGACCTTGGGGGCATCCATCAAAGCTTGGGGGCATTCCCTGGGACTTGAGGGATCTTCTAAGTCTTAGAAGGACTCCATTGGACTTGAAGGATCTCCTAAGCCTTGGGAGGACTCAATGGGACTTGAGGAATCTCCTAAGCCTTGGGAGGACTCCACGAGACTTGGGAGGCCTCAATGGGACTTGAAGGGTCTCCTAAGCTTTGGGAGGACTCCATGGGCATTGGGAGGACTCCATGGGATTTGAGGAATCTCCATGGACCTTGGGAGGACTCCATTGGACTTGAAGGGACTCCTAAGCTTTGGGAGGACTCCATGGGCACAGGGAGGACTCCATTGGACTTGAAGGATTTCCTAAGCCTTGGGAGGACTCTGTGGGACTTGAGGGATCTCCTAAGTCTTGGAAGGACTCCACTGGACTTCAAGGATCGGAGGACTCCATGGGTATTGGGAGGACTCAATGGGTCTTGAAGGATCCCCTAAGCCTTGGGAGGACTCCATTGGACTTGAAGGATCTCCTAAGCCTTGGAATGACTCCATTGGACTTGAAGGATCCCCTAAGTCTTGGAAGGACTCCATGGGCTTTGGGAGGACTCAATGGGACTTGAAGGATCCCCTAAGCCTTGGGAGGACTCCATTGGACTTGAAGGATCTTCTAAGCCTTGGAATGACTCCATTGGACTTGAAGGATCCCCTAAGCCTTGGGAGGACTCCATTGGACTTGAAGGATCCCCTAAGCCTTGGGAGGACTCCATGGGCATTGGGAGGACTCAATGGGACTTGAAGGAGCTCCTAAGTCTTGGGAGGACTTCATTAGACTTGAAGGATCCCCTAAGCCTTGGAAGGACTCCATGGGCTTTGGGAGGACCCCATTGGACTTGAAGGATCTCCTAAGCCTTGGGAGGACTCCATGGGCCTTGGGAGGACTCAATGGGACCTGAAGGAGCTCCTAACCCTTAGCGATGCTCCTGAGCCCCCCACAAGCCTGACCCAATGCGCTCACCCCCTAGGGCTGTGCGTGGCCGACCCCTATGAGATCACGGTGATGAAGGAGTTCTTCATGGACCTGCGCCTGCCCTACTCGGTGGTGAGGAACGAGCAGGTGGAGATCCGCGCCATCCTCTACAACTATTGGACACACAAGATCACGGTAGGAAAAGGAGACCCAAGCCGTGGGGACCACGGGGCGGGGTGGGGGGTGTCCATGGTCACCTCAACCCCATTGAGCACCATCTCCTGGGGCCCATAGGTGCGCGTGGAGCTGATGTACAACCCAGCGCTGTGCAGCGCCTCCACCACCAAGCAGCGCTACCAGCAGGTCCTCAGCCTGGAGCCCCAGTCCTCATGGGCTGTGCCCTTCGTCATCGTGCCCTTGGAGCTGGGGCTCCATGAGGTCGAGGTGAAGGCGGCCGTGCAGGGCCGCTTCGTGGCCGATGGTGTCAAGAAGAAGCTCAAAGTGGTGGTGAGTGGCCTCCCCATGGTGCTGTCACCGTCACTGAGATGCTCCCAGCACAGAGCCCTGTGTCCCCATGGGGCTGGTACCCAGGGATAAAGGATGCTGCCCACCAAGGATGCTCAAGTGGGGCTTTTCTAGTTTGGAGCATGAGATAAGGCTGCTGGTTTCTACTGGGGCAACAGGGAGAGGTTGGGAAGAAGGACCCAAACCCAACCCAACCTTGAGCATTGGGATCTCCTGGAGATGGGAAAGGGGGACCCAAACCCAACCCAACCTTTAGCATTGGGCTCTTCTGGAGATGGGAAAAGGGGACCCAAACCCAACCCAGCCTTTAGCATTGGGATCTCCTGGAGATGGGAAAGGGGGACCCAACCCCAACCTTGAGCATTGGAATCTCTTGGACATGGGAAAGGGGAACCTAAACCCAACTTTTAGCATTGGAATCTCCTGGAGATGACAAAGAGGGACCCAAACCCAACCCAACCTTTAGCATTGGGATCTCCTGGAGATGGGAAAGGGGGACCCAAACTCAACCTTTAGCACTGGACTCTCACCTCTGCAGCCCGAAGGGATGAGAGTGGAGAAGACAGTGAAGATAATCGAGCTGGACCCGAAGAAGAAGGGAGTCGGTGAGTCCCCCATCTGGTCTTGGGGATGTCTCAGCCCCACAGGGATGTTCCACTGAGGGAAAGGTCTGGGGCATCTATGGGGCAAAAGAAGTCCTACTGTGGGGATAAGGGAGGTCCTACTATGGGTCTGTGGGGCCAAGGGACATCCTACTTGGAGCTGAGGCATCTCAATGAAGAAGGGACATCCTGATGTGGCTCTGTAGCATCTTGAGCACCAAGGGACATCCTGCTGCAGATGTGGGGCAGGGCTGGCTCAACCTTATGGTGTGGGGAGGGGACATGATTTGGGGTCACCCATCTCCATCCTGCCCCACAGATGGGGTGCAGGAGGAAAGGGTGAAGGCTGCCAACCTCTCCGACATCGTTCCCAACACCGAGTCGGAGACCAAAGTCAGCATCCAAGGTGAGCCCAAGGGAAGGGGCACGTGTGGGGCCAAGGGCTTGGGATCCTCCTGGCTTCACATCTCCCCTTCTTGTCCAGGCAACCCCGTGTCCATCATGGTGGAGAAAGCCCTGGATGGGGAGAAGCTGAAGCATCTCATCGTGACACCCTCGGGCTGTGGGGAGCAGAACATGATCGGGATGACCCCTACTGTCATTGCCACCCATTACTTGGACAGCACATTGCAATGGGAGAGCCTCGGCGTCGACCGCCGTGCTGATGCCATCAACTTGATCAAGAAGGGTAAGAGCATCCCCCAAAGGATGGGGGGGGGGAGCATTTCCTGGGTTCCTCTCTTGGGGTGCCAAATGTCCCCATCACCCAAGGTGCTGAAGGAGCTTTGAAGGAGCTCTTGGGTGCAAGCAGGTTGGGGATCTCTTATTGGAAGGCCTGGAATGGGCTCCAGGAATGGGTTGGGGGCCTGAAGCTTGGCTGGGTGCTCCTTGAGGTGCCCAACCACCACCTCCTCCCCAGGTTACACCCAACAGCTCGCGTTCCGGAAGCCTGACAACTCCTATGCGGCCTTCAAGAATCGTCCATCGAGCACTTGGTGAGGTCCTGCGGCCACCGTGGGTCTGGGTGACAGGGTTGGATGTGGCGCTGAGGTTCTCCTGTCCCCAGGTTGACTGCCTACGTGGCCAAAGTCTTTGCCATGGCCATCAAGCTGGTAGACATCGAGCATGAGGTGGTCTGTGGTGCGGTGAAGTGGCTCATCCTGAACAGGCAGAAACCAGACGGGATCTTCCAAGAAGATGCTCCTGTCATCCATAAGGAGATGGTGGTATGGGGGGGAGGATACGAGCCCTGTTGGCTGATGGAACAGGAAGGATGATGTTGGGTGATGGGGATGAGGATTCGGCGGCCAGAGCTTGGCGTGGAAGACCACGATGCTGAGGTCTTCCTCCTCCATCTCTCACACAGGGAGGTTACCAGGGCGCTGAGCCCGAGGTGT